AGTAGAGCCATGCTGCAGTTATATTAGAAGTATAGTTGTAGCACGAATTAGTCGGATCGACCGGGGAAGGACCACGCTCTCACAGAATACCAGCGTGAAATAGTAGCTTAATGGTGCTGTATTTCGTATGGTGAGTGTAGAGAACCGGAGACCCTTTTTACTGGAAACGAGGCATTCCATCTTAGTCCTCACGGGTGACAATGCATCTGCATTTTAATTCGTAATTGAGGATAGATGTAGATGACTATGGGCCACAGCAATCATTTACCATCAGGTGGACTGTGTGCTCGTTTGTCACCCAATCCTTTAAAAAAGCAAATTAAAATATTGTTACGAGATTGGGATTCGTGGCAATAATAACTGCCGAAAGAATTACAAAATTAACACTTTAATTACAGAACACTAATTACAACTTAAAACACACTAATAAAATAACACAACTGTACTACTGATCACCTTAGTTCGCAGTTGTATCACTTCGGAGAATTCGTGGTTTTATCGCTTCGAAGTATTCGCTTGATCACCAATTCAATACCATCTCGGGTCGCGGTCTATACCGTCCTTAAATAGAGTATCTTCTACTGAAAGATCTATCGATGTTCGGGTATATACCGGTCCTGACTGACTAGGTGTAGAAAGAGCACGGAAATTTCAAGAAGGATCTTTACGCTGCTAGTTCTGCTACTCTATACTGGAGGGCGCTAGTGTTAACTAATGCCACCATGTACCAGGCATTAATTGTGGCGCACAAGAATAAAATTCAGGTTTAATATGAATTATGGTTATTGAGAATCAATAATTAATCAACGTATAAATTTTCTTCATTTTAACATATAATGAATTACTTAAGAAAGTTATAATATGGCATATACAATATGTAACAAAAACCCTATGGTTCCCGTTAAGTGTGTTATCAGAATCAGTATCCAAGCGTATAGAAATATTTTTTTTCAAAAAAAAACTAAAAAAAAAATAATTTAAATGAAAAAAAAAATAATTTGCAAATTGTATGTGGTTTTATTTCCTCTAACTCACACGAGTATTGGTAATGCGTGGTCTTTGACAATCCTCTTACTCCTCGGCCAATGCAGAGGCCTGCTCTGAGGTCTGCTCGATTAGGGAAGGACCATGCTCTCACAAAATAGTAGCTTAACGCTGTTGTGTTTCGTATGGTGAGTGTAGAGAACCGGACGGTAACCGAGGATAGGTGTAGTTGTCTATGGGCTACAGCAAAAATTACCATCAGGTGGACTATTTGCTCGTTTCTCATCCTCATTCTATAATGAAAGATAATATTGATAAATATTATGTTTGATTTATAAGTAATCAAGTATGTTAATAACAAATAATTCATATATTATGAATATTACTAACGAGAATACCGAAATCGAGAGAAAGAAAGAAAAAAAATTAATCGATAGACATACATCTTTTAGTCTTGTATTTAAAAGACGGTATTGGTTGTCTTTCGAACGAAACAAGACCTTTGGCCGCAGCACCAATCATTCCGAAACATTTTTTGTCAAACTCCATACTTTATATTTTAGTTTGCTTATTTTCACATAACTTCTTTCGTGAAACAGATTCTACTTTAAGCCTGAGTCTGTTTCTTTTAATGAAGCGGAATGTGTGCTACATTCCGCTTCATTAAAAGAAACAGACTGAATGAAATTAAGTATGTTAATAACAAATAATTCATATATTATGAACATTACTAACGAGAATACTGAAATCGAGAGAAAGAAAGAAAAAAAATTAATCGATAGACATACATCTTTTAGTCTTGTATTTAAAGCATAGTAAATATAGAACTTCTTTCGTGAAACAGATTCTACATTAAGCCTGAGTCTGTTTCTTTTAATGAAGCGGAATGTGTGCTACATTCCGCTTCATTCTTGTACCTAATTATAAAAATCTTTAACATTATAAAAACATCGGTAACGGAGCCAAAGACTTAAAGTGCTATTGTATTTATTGGTATATAGTAGTTTTATATCTTCTGACAGATTGATATATATTTTGGTTGCCATACAAAAACAACTTTTACGATGCATATTAAGTTTTTTTTGTGTTAACTTCAAAAAATATAGGTTAAGTAAATATGCACAACTACTAGTCCATGCCAACATAATTTATAACTTTACGCCCTTTGTCATTAAAAAAAAATCTGTGACGGAAAACCAACCAGATACCGAGGTGATACCATTAGTGCTCCGATGTGCTTAATAATGCACGAAATATAAAAAAATACAGAAGTTTAAAAATACACAAATGCATGAAATTTGGTGAAAGCAAATAAGTTTTATTTGCATACACTGATAAAACCGGCTGGCGAATATTGCAGTTGAAGAATAATATTACGCGCTAGAGCCTCGGTGTTTTGTGTCATAATGGCTGCATTTCGAATGCGTCAGAACAAACATTATAAGAACACCAGCGGAAAATAGAGAATAACGCTAAATATCGTATATGATTTTATGGGACACACTTACCACTTTACATTGTGCACATTTGCGCGAACACTACACATTACAACATACCGCATATCGTCATTTAGGATTAAAGACGATATGCGGTAGTAGGTATTCTTACACCGCAACTACTAGCTAAAATCACGCAAATTGATTAAAACTACTATTACGGATTTTATCGCCTTTTATTTATTTTAATTTTAATACCCGACGTTTCGGGTGCTTTCCAGCACCCATGGTCACGGGGGACTGAAGTGACTGACGTCCCGATGACAAAGTTAACCCGGAGTACCTTCAGCTTTATAACCTAAGAAAATAATTAAAAAGCTGAAGGTACTAGCACCCGAAACGTCGGGTATTAAAATAAAAATAAATAAAATGTATATAATAATAAATAAAAGTAGTTGTAATCAATTTGCATGATTTTAGTTAGTAGTTGCGGTGTAAGAATACTTACTACCGCATAACGTCAAGTAGGTGTTGTAAGAGGCGACAAATGGAAGCAAACCAGGAGATGGGCAGCAGCCTCTTCTTAATAACCAGTAAACAAAAAACTACGATTGCCAACTTGGCTGTCAAAAGTGGCAATTATGGACAAACTTCCCTATACGAGGCAGTGTTATGGTCCTCCGTATTTGCCTGCATTCAAATATTGATAAAATGTAACGGTCATGAAAAGGATTACTTCTATTAAAATATCTATAAAATTGATTTTGATGATTTTCGTGATAATCTGATGATGATTAATATAGATGATGTGATTTACATAGTCTTGGATTTTTTTATATACTATTTATATATTAATTCTAAAGGTAATTTAAAATTTGACTGTTAATACAATACTGACGTGGCATTTTATAAATATGCCAAATTTCGATCACTTAAAACGCTCAACGAAAAATCATATGTAACTGAATGACAATCACCTAAGTGATTCCACAAGATGTTCTGTCTAGATGGATTTGGTTCCGACCGATAACACTACACTCAATGATGACTGAGTAAAATAGAATTCTCGTTAATAACAAGAAAAATCTACATAATTTAAGATAATGATTAGATAACGTGAATACTTAGGTGGCAGGACTCATTTTCAGGCTTACAGCTTTTCTCGTTAATTACCATCCCCTTAACTATTTCTAACTACAAATAACAAAACTTGTACTGCTGTGTTCCACCAGTCTGAGGGGTGTAGAGAGCCAGTATAACTACAGGCTGGAATGCATTCCATTTTAGTTCTCATAGAAGAAAATACATCTCTAGCCTCCATTGTTTTAAGTTCACTGCAGGTGTTTGTGAACTGTAGTAGCCATTTTTGTTGTTTTTCATTCTAGTTTAGTAAAAACCTACATATATTTGTAAAAAATGACACACATATTAAACATTCTTAGAAATATTTGATTTACTCCAGAAACATGTTTCACTGCGATAATTTTACGTTAAGCCGTTGTTTAACAAAATTAATTAATGTTCTTATAAGAGCGGGGCCATACTAGTCACCGTTCCTTTGTTTTCGAGAGATTAATCTGCTATTATCTTTTTGTGCAGATTTATTTTCCTTCACGTTAAAATTTATACTTACATGAAGAAGCGAATATTTTATTTGAAAAGTACCTCTAAGTTAGGAAAAGCCACAGTAGATGCTCTTGTTTAGTAAATTCATTTATTTTATGGAAACCGAGTTCGAAATTTAATGTAACCCACACTTGGACAAGAATTATTCTTGTGTCTTTTTAAATTCACGTTTGGTAGGTGCTTTGCAGTCCCACTGAGTCTGCCTGGGTATCATAAATATATCTGTGAAATAGGATATTTTCTGGGCTTTTCTATAATTCTCGCTTACGTCAAAAATGAACAAACTAAGGAAGCAATTACAATGACCCAATTTTTTTATTAAAATCATAGTTTATTCAATAATTATTTAGTGAAATATACTTCTACTACAGCCCATCAAAGTCTAGTGCTAAACGTAGGCCTCCCCATAGATCACCTTATAATAGGTTTTATTTTCTATAGTTGTTTCGCTTGGCAAGCGGGTTGGCAATGGCAGTTTTTTTAGTTGTTACTAGGAAGATGTTAATTTCTTTCCCTGAGTCGCTTCATACGATACCTACGGTACGATATGGCGTAGCGGATATTCTTAAACAGTCAGCACATGGTAATTTTTTTGTTCTTCTTCTATGTATTCCCAACCATTAAACCGATTACAAGAATATACATTTTGATTTTTAATTTTTATAATATAAATGGATTGTATGTACTTCGGTCACTTTTATTCTATATATAAATCTCATTTACAACCGCTCAATATATAAATGAGCTAATTATTGTGTTCGAATCAACCACTAGTCACAACACACATTTTTATAGGATAAGCGTCACAAACTTACTTAGCTTGACACACAAATGGTGCTTTTAATTATTAAAAAGAACATACTTCTATTTAAACTGTGCAAAATTTTTACAACCTCTAAATTATTTGTTTAAAAGATAGGTGATTTTTGAGAAACTTTGAAAATTTTTGAAACAATGGACGAAAAAGAATTTGGAGTGCTTATTAAACATTTGCTCCTAATAAACAAAAATACCGTTGAAGCAAAATGTTCGCTGTACAAATGTTATCGGGCCTCTGCTTTATCAAAAACAACAGTCAAGCGTTGGTTTTCTGAATTTAAGAGTGGACGAACAGACACAAATGATGCTGAACGATCTAGACGCCCAAATGAGGCTCTTATTTCAAAAAATATAAAAAATTGCACAAAATACTTTTGTAACATGGTAAAATGAGATAGCCGACGACCTACATATATCAAATAGTAGTGCATTTCATTACTTTGCATGAGCATTTGTCTATGAGAAAGCTTTGTTCCAAGTAGGTACCACGTTAGCTCACCGTTGATCAAAAGCATCAACGTGTTGAAGCCTCAAAGCGCTGTTTAGAGTTATTAAGGCGGAAAAAAAGAATTTTTTCATACGACATGTCACAATGGATGATTCATCAATTTATTCCAGAATTGACACGGCAGTCAAGTCAGTGGACAACGAGTATAATATTTATAGACTATCTACTGAAGGGCGTAAGGATTTATAGCGAAAAAAATAAGTCGTTATTGTTGCTTCTGAAGGGGGAAATCACGAAAAATGGCCTCAAACGCAAAATAAAAAAGTTCTTTTTTTTTTCAAGACAATGCACCTTGTCAAATAACTGTTACCACCATGGCGATTAAAGAGTTAAAGTTTGCATTGTTTGCTCACCCACCGTTTTTACCTGATTTAGACCCCAGAGAATATCTTTTGTGCACTTACCTAAAAAAAAAGCTATTCCGAAAGAAATTTGCCTCAAACGAAGAAGTGATCGCCAAAACTGAAGCGTGTTTTGAAGGGTTGGACAAATCGTATTATTAAAAAGCATGGAAATGTTGGAGTGGCTCTGGATGAGTGTATCACTCTTGAAGTAGACTATGTAGATGAATAAAATTAAATTCAAAATTCAATTTTATACATGAATAAAAATTATAATTTGACTTGAGACTTATTGACCGATGATTGATTGATGATGAGTCCATCTAATTAATGGTTAGTGGTTGTTGTGGCCCATAGATATCTACATCTATCTCGATTATGAACCAAAAGAAAAATTCGTTGTCACCCATGATGACTAAGATGGAATGCCTAGTTACCAGTAAAAATGATCTACGGTTCCCTGCACTCACTATACAAAACACAGCAGCGTTAAGCTGCTATCATACGCTGGTATTCTTTAAGTGCGGGGTCCTCTTCTGGTCCAGCAAGACAAGAAGAGATCAAATAAACAGTAATTAATATTTCTACTAATATTCTCAATGTTTTCATTTCTTTACCATTATAAATCTAATTAACAGTAAAAGCATATTTAAAAATATCGTAAAATAAACTACATGTCTCAGAAATAAAATATTTGAATTCATATGCATTGAAGCAGCGCAACGCACTAGTTTTTCTATAACTAGGGAAGGCCTGTTTAAGGAGTGCGACGTATAAAGATTTTACTTTATACTAGTATTTTATTTCTGTATCCAAATGTTATATTATAATGATAATATTAAACATTTACTGTATATATAAAAATATATATAAATATAAGGTAAGGTAAGGTAAATTGAATAAAACTAAATTTACGGATTTTATCGCGCATATTTCACTAATTTTACTTATTTTTAATTCCCGACGTTTCGGGTGCTTTACAGCAACCATGGTCACGGGGGGACAGTCCCCCGTGTATTAAAAATAAGTAAAAGTAGTGAAATAAACGCGATAAAATCCGTAAATTTAGTTTTATTCAATGTGCAGTGTTCGCGTAAATTTAAGAAATCATTAAGGTAAGGTAAAGTTATAAATCGGTGCTATGATTTCAAATGCTGTCTAAAAGTTTGAAGAAACAGTTTAAAAATGAATCCTATCCCGTAAATAGATTTTTCATTCGATAAGTATAGACTTCAATCCTTCATTGATAATGTGACTGGGTAGACTATGTTTAGATTATTTACGAGCTGAGGTAGAAAGTTGACTGGTTCGAATTAATAAATCAGTCCTTGTAGTTTTACATAGGAGTAATAGTAGTAATAATAATAGTAATAGTAGTAATAAAAATAGGCGTAGGGAAGTGACGACCCCATCGCCCGCTGACAAAACGGTTGTGTGACAAAACCGCAACGTCAGCGCAGTCAGTCAGCATCTTGCCAAGAGGTGTTAGTGCCGTGCCTCTGCAAAAATTTAAGGTGCAAAGGCCCGTTGTGCACATGGCCCCACCATGAAACGGTGCCAGGTCTGGGCGTCTCCGGTTAAATGACGCCCACCAATATGGATGATGGAATACGGAAGAACGCGCAAAGGGCTGCTGCTTGGAGGTCTCCTAGGCGCGTCTGGAGCTGGCGTTGAACGATACCCATCAGCCCCTCGCATCCATCATCCACACCAACAGGCTTGGTGTCGGTAGTGTCTTCGCAGGCCCAGCAACCGGCACCCACCACTGGTGGAGTACGTCGCATGCGATGGACAATAGAAATGAATACCAACGCATTGCGGAGGTATTTCAGGGCGAAAGGGCCTCCCCCTTTTGCCCTAAAATACGATACAATAATAAAGTTGGAGGTTTGGCGTATCGGGCTAGTATGCATCGTCTTTTTGCTGAGCTGGAGCCATCTTTAACTGTCACAAAGCAAAACCTGGCAGACCGATTTCGGTAAATCTTGCACTCAAATATATTTGATGTTGCTGAACTCGAACGGCTACGAAGTGAGGCTATTCCCACATCGGATGAAAATGCTACGGCTGAGGATGCGGTGCCACAAATTGCAGAGCAACCCGCAAACGTGGATGCTGCAGTGAATTTCGTCCCGATACCATCCACACCATCTGGATGCTTGGCGGTCCACCACTGTACGTTTCAAAAGGAGTTTTCTTCCGCGTACAACCTCTCTGTGGAATAATTTACCACCGGTGATTTTTCCGGACCGATACGACCTGGGGACCTTCAAGAAAAGAGCTTACTCCTTTCTAAAGGGCCGGCAACGCACCTGCAATTCCCCTGGTGTTGCGGTTGATCATGGGCGGCGGTAGTCACTTAACATCAGGTGAGCCACATGCTCGTTTGCCCCCTCTTCTATAAAAAAAAAAAGAATACCCCAGTTTTGTTTGATTTAAACGATGATGGAACAGTCGCCCAAGAACTGGAATAAGAGCATATGAGTAATACATTGGAAGAGGCGATTGTGGAAATGCGCAGTACGCCTCTCGAAAATTGACCGCGTCCGTTGACCTGGTGACCTATTTGGAAACCAGCCGGGACCTTTGCGAGACAACCTCAATTCTTTTTGGCGCCGCACTGGCAGTATACCGTATTATATGCGCCAAACTTTCCACGGCTGGACGCGCTACTGGGCAAAGTAGCGTTATCCCAGCCTGGAGAATAAGAATTGAAGAACGTATCGCAAAGGCTAGGGCCCTCATCGGCAGACAGATATGCTTCAGGTCAGGCAATAACAGACCAAGGATTGTGCGCACCGTCAGGTTGGCATTTGCTGGAACAAATGTTAGTTTGTCCCAGCCGGATATAATGCAAAAACTGACGGAGCGCATAGACGACCTGAAGCAGAGAATCGCTGCTTGGGGAAAGCGGATTCAGCGATATACCGAGAGGTCGACACGGTTCAACAAGAATCGTCTCTTCCAGAGTGATCAGAAGAGGCTCTATAAATCATTGGAGCGATCATTGTTAAGTGGAACGGGCCCAGCATTGAATCAGGCCGACACTGTCGCATTCTGGCACGGCCTGTGGTCAGAGCCCGTAAACCACAGCGAGGGCCCCTGGACGAAAGATGTGGTGAGTCAGTGTGCGAGTATTACGCCCATGAACCCCGTCATCATAACGCCGGATGATGTAGCTGAGGCGGTTCGTAGAGCCCCGAACTGGAAAATTCTGGGACTCGATGGGCTGCATCACTACTGGCTGAAGGGGTTCATGGTGTGTCACGCTGTGCTTGCCCGTCAGTTTCGAGGCCCTCAACCAGAAGACGCTCCCAAGACTCTTCACTACTGGCTCATTCTGGTCATTTGGTTTCTAAAGATCAGGGTGCCACAGACCCGAGCAAATATAGCCCCATCACGAGTCTACCGACCATATACAAGACACTTACATCCATTTTGAGCGCGAGAATCAGTCGTCACCTGGACTCAAATCAGATGATGTCGCGTGCTCAAAATGGATGTCGGGGCGGTGGTCGTGGAACCAAGGACCCACTACTCATTTACGCGGTCATTGGCAAAGTGGTGAAATGCAACCGTAGGAACTTCTCCGCCACCTGGATAGATTACATAAAGGCATTTGACTCTGTGTCCCATACATGGCTAAAGAGGGTCCTCGAGCTGTACAAGATTGACTGTACAGTTCGAGACTTCCTCGAGCAGTGTATGGGGCAGTGGAGTACGATTCTCTGTCATCTAGGTGAACGGATGATGGCTGCGGAAAGCCGCATAAGGATAAGAAGGGGTATATTCCAGGGCGACTGTCTGAGTCCAATCTGGTTCTGCCTCTCTTTGAACCTTCTCAGTACTTTACTGGAGGGCTCCGGGAGGGGATTTCAACTTCGGAAAGGAGGTACAAAAATGACCCACCTTTTCTATATGGATGACCTCAAATTATTCGCTTCCAGTCGCTACCATCTTGTGGAATTGCTAAACATCACTTGTGAATTTAGCAATTCTATTAGAATGGAGCTGGGGACGGATAAGTGTGCGGTCTTCTATGTTGAAAGGGGAAGGGTTGCTAAATCTGAGAGCATAGACTTATCTATGCCCGTCAACTTAAGGACCCTTTCCGAGGCTGAAACATACCGATACCTGGGTATGTCACAGAGCATCTGGTATGAAACAGTCTGTTTGTGACGTGTTTTATGCATGCAGAGGGTTTTGTATGTGCGATACAATATCAGGTTATTAAGACCAACAACCATCGAAGATACATCCTAAAGGATGGCACCGTCGACATCTGTCGAGCTTATCGCCATTCCGGTGAGTCACTTAGGCAGGTCATCTCCGGATGTTCGGTGCTTTCTCACTCTGGGTACTTGCACAGGCATAACCTAGTAGCCAGAATTCTACACCAGGACCTCGCTCCGAAATACGGTCTTGTGGACTGGAAACTGCCGTATTACAAGTATTTGCCGGAAGCCGTGCTCGAAAATGACCGCGTCAGGCTCTACTAGGACCGGTCCATCATATCAGACAGGATTTTTCTAGCGAATAAGCCAGATATTGTGCTGATGGACCGGGCAGAGTCAAGGATATTTTTGGTAAAGTAAAGTAAAGTAAAATGACAGCCTGTATATGTCCCACTGCTGGGCACAGGCCTCCTCTCATTTCTGAGAGGGTTTTAGGGCAAGAAAGTGTCCGCCGCGCTGCCCCAATGCGTGTTGGCAAACTTCACATGTCTTCGAAATATTTTTTCCTTATTCCTCAGACATGTAGGTTTCCTCACGATGTTTTCCTTCACCGCCGAGCACGTGGCAATCAGCACTTAAAATTGCAATTAACAATTTCATTGGCACCGGCGGGGATCGAACCCGGGTTACTCGCGTTCTGTTATATTTACAGCGGGTGTTAACCATCTGAGCTACCACGGCTCGGCTGCAGGCGAAGCACGTGTCATATCATCCGAATGTGGTGCGTCTTTTCTAGTTTTGTTGTATTGGGAATAGTAGTGATTGAATACTGCATGGAATTGGGGCTCATAATATTACGTTTATAATTTACGAACTTATTTGCTGAGCAGATTATCACAAATTTTCATTATCATAACTGAAAAGTTGAGCTTTAAATATGAGTTTTTTCAGTTTCTAGTGAAAGCACGAGTATATACTCAAAAAAGTTCCTCGGTGCAGCATTATTTAGTTTTTTTTCACATTTGTATCGTTTTTTTATATTTGCGAATTTAGGAATATCCGTAGTTTGGGTTATCCATTGCTAATTCAATCACTGACCTCTATATATAAAGTGAATCTAATACATATAAAATATAAATAATAGATCAGAAATAAACATTAACTATTACATTTTTCTGACAAAATAACTTCCTCTGCTAAGAAATCTGTCAAATATATCAACACAGTCCTAGTAGATGATATCGCGTCAAAATAAAAACACAGTGGAGTTAAAAACTTCCTCTTTATTGGAAGTGAAATACCTATAATATCTACAAATTAAGCATTTAAGGAATCAAAATTGAAATACCTAAAATTCAGAACAATGCTTTAATATTTGAAGCTTGAATTTAAATTAGACTCCTAGAAAACGGAAAATATTTTACAATTTAAATGAGAATGTCAAACGCGCTATCGACTATTTGTACCCGTCAAAAGCAATGTCAACATAGAATTCTTATCATGGATAAGAATTTCATCTTTCTCATATTTTTAGCAAAATATCATTTGCAATGGATTCGCGTCAAAAATTTGTAAATAATACAATAACTCTAACGTTATTTCATATTATTGCCAATAGGGTGGCCCCCCGCTAGATTAAGGGACGACTGTTAAAACGTGTCTGAAGTTCCAGCCGCCAAATTTCACGAACGCATATCGCGTCAAAATTTTCGATGCCATCCTCACCGTTTGGATGCTTGGCGGTTCACACACAACACTGTGCGTTTTACTAGGAGTTTTCTTCCTCGGACAACTTCTCTGTGGAATTGTTTATCACAGACGAATTTTCTGGACCGATACGACTTAGGGACCTTTAAGAAAAGAGCTTACTCCTTTCTAAAAGGCCGGCAACACACCTGCAACTCCCTTGGTGCTGCGGTATGAACACCAAACAAAGCAGTTCAGGTGGTTTAGTGAGCTTTCTGATGAGTATGGGTTGGAGTGTGGAGTGAGATAGGGTCTCGTCTCCTTCTCTGTTCAACTTGTTTGTGAATCGGTTGATTTTTGAGCTGAGCGACACAGGGGCTGGCTGCTAGATTGATGTTCACTGCATGAACATTACAGAACAGTCAGTTATGCAGATGATATGGTGTTGCTCAGCCCATCAATCGCCAGTATCAGAAAACTGATAGGTGTATGTTGGAAGGACGCTTTGTCACTCGGTCTCTTGTACAATTTTAAAAAGGGTGAGCTCTTGATCTTTCAAGCTAGGGGGTGTAAGCTGTGTGATGTGCCGCGTATGCTACTAAATGTCGTTGCTATACGTAGGGTAAAAGAGTTTAAATATCTCGGCCATGTGGTTGGAAATTGGGGCGATGTCGCTCCTCTGTAATATGGTGGCACGCAGATTCGCGAGGTGTAGTTTTAGAGAAAAAATAACCCTCTTTAAAGCCCTTTTCCAAACTCTATACACTTGCAGTATGTAGGTCAACTACATGCAGCGGGCCATTAACGCTCTCCGAGTACAGTATAATAACGCACTCAGGGTGCCGGTGGTGCTCCCGTGCTACTGTAGTGCATCTGCGATGTTTGCGCACACGTTGACGGACGGCTTCCATGCTGTGCTGCTGCGCCGCATCACCACATTGATGCTCCGTACGCGGGAGAGCGCCAACACCTTCCTGAACGTGCTCAGCGATAAGCCTGACTGCCCCCTTCTACGGCATTAGGTACAAACATAAATGCATGTGCCCGGTGCTCCGGAAGGTGGCAGATACTTGAATTAAATTGTAAATTAAGATTATTGAAGTTATTAATATTAATTAGTTTTTATGTTAAGCAATCGAATTAAGGTAAATTGAATTGAATTGAATTAATTAAGATTAAATTAAATTAGGTATGTATGTAGATAGGATTAAATTGAATTAAATTTATTATAATTTGTGTCACTTATATGGGCTCTGAAATAAATTGATTATTTATTTTATTTATAATACGCTTCATTGGTACAGCTGATGCGCCGAAACGATGATAAGTGGCTGATGGCTAAACACAGCTACCTTACATATAGAAAGTTCTATGTTAGTTAACGGGCGAGAGTCGATCGGTACGCAGTTCAAGAACCTTTTGTAGTAGATCAAGGTGCCGCCTTTTGGGCTAGTCAAACTCATCAATCATTTCTAACTAAGGTGTAACTTGCAATCATGGGATCGCGATGTCTAAGCCTCAAGAAGGCATCTTGCACTAGAATAACGTCTACATCGTATTTGCGCAGGAAGAGCACAACCTCATATTTTTGGTCCCTGAGCCCGTTTTCATTAAAAATTTAATTTTATCTAATGAATGTATAGACGTTATTGGTTTAAAAAAGTGTTTATGTGCACTGGAAAGACCAGATTGCGTCAATTAGTCCTATGTGCTCAATCGTTCGTTGAACTTGTCCTAAGGGGTGGTTCCTCTGCAGAGTTTGCGAGCCAAGGAGGATAGTTCAGTGACGTTGATGTTGCTGATGAAGACCACACTAGGGAGAAGTCAATGGCAAAGGAGCAAGAGGCTTGGGAGCCTGGAGGGGTGGCAATGACCATTAGGCGACCAGTGCCGGAGGCGTTACCCACGTATTGGGTTTCGGCGCGGAAGGCATAGGAGTGCTACCACCTTGCGCAGAGATCCAGGTAACTGGAGCGGGCTTTGTGGTGGGTTGAGGTACAGAAGAGGGCACCGTAGATAGTGCAGGTTAGGCAGCAGGCAGCCGAAAGCGCGACGCACTTGTCTGATCCGCACGTCTGTGACGGATTTTGCTCTACCATCTCAGGAGTGTGGGTATAGTTGGTAGTGCCGTGATCACCTAGGCACTTGACGCACCTAAGCTTGGCGTAGCAATGTCTGGCCAAGTGGCCTTAAAGGTGGCATTGATGGCACTGGCTAACGATGCCCCAATTTCGGGGGTCTTCAATTGTGATCCCAGTTAGGTTACAGATACGACGGACATTGAATATCTCAATGTCTTCCGGAGAAAGGTCCATGATGACAAGGCAGATATAGGAATAATTTTTTTCGGTTCAGGTGGTGCATTCTGTGCACTTCTCGGACCGGTAGATTTTGGGCCTTCTTCTAAAATATGTACGGTCTCGAGTTCCTTGAGGAGTCCTCGAACGACCTCACGAATGTTACACTCCACTGATGGGGCTTGGGTGTAAAAGCTTATAAATACGAGTTAGTCTCGGCTGCCTTTTTCGGGGTTAAGCGCTTGCGCTTTTGCCCTGAACGAGGGTGAAGCCTTCGTCTTCGG